TAGGTTAAAAGACCCAGCACAGAATTCACTGTTCGCTAAAACGATTCAGAGAAACATCACTCAATCGAAATCGGGAGAGACACCCACCTTTATCGTAAAACAAGGAGCAATTTCAAGAGCTACTCCGCGCGCGTCGACGTGGAGCACTGTCAACGAAGATATGGAACCTTAGTTTGGATATACTTTTGAGAGTTAGTAAAAATTCACAGATAATCATTTGTTTTTAGAGGATGCGCTTAAGGATATCTGATATATATAAAGAATCGTTAGCTCAATTCAAAACTCTTCCAATAGCGGGAAACCGCGGTGCGGTCTCGAAGCACGCGGATGCAATCTAGAGCCTTTAATTACTGGTTCACTAGTAGCAGATAGTAACAACTGCAAAAGCAATCATACCGTATGTGCGCACTTGAATTTCTTGTTAATGTGCCTGTTTTGGTTACTGGGGGTACGACTAATTTTGCACCAACTGTTCTCGGAGCGGATGATGTCCTATTTGGATCACGTGAAGTTGATTGAAGAGACGAGCCCGCAGGCGCGCCTGACTGAGACTGTGCCGGAAAATGAGGCGGTTGTCAGACAGAAGATAGACGAAGCGAGCACGCCTCTACCGTCGCCAGGAGCGTAAACCCAAAACAGGGTGCGGGATTTTGCGAATTCGTGATAGGCGTAAAACAGTTTTCTTACCAATGTCAGTCGTCCGAGATCTTCTATAAAAGAATGCTAGTAGATTGTATGATAAAAATAACCAGAAGGCTCTCGGAGGTTGGCTAGGGCCGCTAGAAAAATGAGAGATGTAAACAAAAGGAAAAGAAGAGATTATCAGGACATGTTGGGCAGATCGCGAATTAAGGCCGGGACTTTTCAGAAATACGTTATAGCTCTTTTATCCTTCTAGCGGTAAGTTTCGTGAGAACGGCTACAAAAGGGAGAGACCTCAAATATAGAACCAGAAGAAGGAGAATGTCATGAATCAGTGAAAGTCAAAGGAACAACTTCGGTTCATCGGGAAATTTCTTTCCGATTGTGTGTTTGTTTTCCAACAACTGAGTCTCTTGCAAAAAGATTATCGTCTTTGACAAGAAAATAAAAGAGAGGAAATCAGCGAAAATCAGTAGTAAGAAAAAATTCATTCAAATTTATAATGTTGTAATTTACAGTTTGTTAGGACGAGTAAATAGCCACAATGCTAAAAGCGGGTTTTGAAACACCCGACAAGTACGAGTCGATTAGTTAGTCATATCGGGAAAGGATACTACTGTCAGAGCTAGTGATTTTAGCGCAGCCATTGGCAGCAGAGCTGAGGGATCTTCACTCTTTCGATCCCCGCGAGGCAGAATAATTCACATTTCGAGTGCAAGCCGGATGGACTGCCACGAACTAATTGAAATGCGAAAAAATAAGAACGCTCCACCCTGTCGCTCTCTTTTGAAATGTGGCTCACCTGGCACTCAGACTCAGATTTTTTTCGGATTGAATACGCATGATATCATGATGAGAGCATTTGTAGCGAGGATTAGAATTCGCTGTTTTGTCTGCCAAAGATAGACTAGTCACGGAAAGGTAGTCTGAGATTTAGCTTCATTATCGCCTTCTCAATATCATTGGCGTTTCAAAGCAAAAGCCACTCATCTCCTTAGAGGATCCATCATGGCCTCAATCGTTTTCTGCTCGCGCTTCTCGATGGAATGTTAGCGCATTCATCAATTTCTCATCAATCCGGTTACTTACATCACATGATGTGATTTTCTTTCCTATAGGCCTTCTGCTATATCGAGCAGAACTTTGGTCCAATCTTCTTGTTTGTAGTCCTCCGAAGATAATTCAGTGCACCTTTATACCAAATGATTCTCAAAGTACTATGCAAGTTGGTTTAATTTTATTTTGGTTTGACGAAAAGTAAACGTAAGAGTGAAAGTAAGAAAGACAAAGTAATATTTCTAATCTTCTTTTTCGCAGTATTGTTATGCAGATGAGGCTACCCCCCCCCCCATGTTGCCTTCGAAAATGCTGCAGGTGCGATTGCTAAGTGATGAAGCGGGTAAAGGCATTGAAGCGAATGTCTCTGGACACAATTCGTCGAGTGTAGAAAGAAGAACCATTTATTAGACTAAACAGTATTCTGATCGTCACGAATATCTAAATCCATAATTCCCGATGCGATTACTGGAGAATGTCATTTTCGCTGCAAAAGTTTTCCTCCAGAAACTCCTACGGTAACTATCATGGTAATTCATACAGAAGGTACTCTGTACAGTCACCTTCAGATTAAAATCCATTATTGATATGTACTTTGGAAGTATTTTCGTATGTCAAGGGAAAATTAGGTTTTCCAGAAAAGATAATAAATCGAACAGCACGCTGTGGGCTGAACTGACTCACTATCGGCAGCTGAGTGCCTTTGTGAATCAATATACATCAATGTTCTATATCTGTATATCTCTTTCTTCTCTCTATGTATCGTTAGGCTAACTATCAGCATATAGTAAGCGGTTTTTGGTGGTTGGTTTTTGGTTTTTGGTTTTTCAATGGTTTTTCATGTTATGCATCTCATGGCCCACTATTAGGTTGGCTAATAAATAAGTTCGGTCGCTTTTGTGGTTTTTACAAATGCTGCAGACATATTTTCGTCCAGTCTTTGGTATCGCTGGAAAGAGCACTTCAGCGGAGACGAATATGAATTCTAAAAAAACAACAAGAAATTTTTTTTATGAAGATTTGTATGCCAAAACGAACTTATTTTTTAGCCAACCTAGTATATTTATCCTTTCATGAGGACTGTGAGTAAAGTTACTTTCATTATTCGTTATCTGTTGACATAATCAATGTTAGCGAATTCGATGGACAAACCACATAACTTCAATAAAGTACAGTGCACCTGAAGACCAAAGACTACATGTCGTTTACTTGGAAACATAGCTCTCAAGAACATTGTTTTGGTTAGCCATTCGCTTTCTTTTTCTTCATCAGTGATAATTTGACTTCCTTCGTGCAAATACGCAAACCAGATTTCGTTCATAACATTAGAAAGCACTACCCATTCGTGTAAACATGTCATTTGTTCATTTGGGGGTACAATTTTGAGTTCCGCCTGGGTTGCGCAGCATGTAAGGAGGGCCTAACTGAACCTGCCCGCAAATGTTAAACGTGTTTGAAAGGGGATTCCCCACTTGCAGCTCCGACTTAACTTGAAAAAGATTTTCACCTTGCCCCTGCGTCAGCTGTGCAGCTGTGTTCGCAGGTCATAATGTTTATTTCTCCTGTTTTCGCATGCATTTCTATTGTCACAATTTTTGTATTTGTTACTGAGTTAGCTTTTATAAGAAATTTTTGAGAATTTGAAATCGAGAGAAATACGAATAAGAGAAGAACAAAGAGATTGAACGTCTTTGGAAAATGGTAGAGCGGTAGAAATGGAAACTATAATAAAGGTCAGGTTAGAAATCTCTGCTAACAAGTTGCATAAAACAATTCAACCACGGAGATACTTGGAGCATTAATCTAGTGTCACTCGCTCCACAATTCGTTTTTTTTATAACCGCTCGAAATCAAAGCTCATCACTCCAAGTAATTTTGAGCTTTGCGCAGCACCACCGCCACAAAAAAATGGGCCTATCAAAAATATTTGTGCAGCGGTAGGGGATTGTCAACAAGTTTACGATAGTCTGATAGTCTCAACGCCTTAGGCCCCGGGCAGACTTCAAGCGTTTGATCGTCGCGACTGAATCGCGACGACACAACTGTTATAACATCATTCCATGCCGATAAACTTGCATTCGGTTGTGATACTTTTACAGCCCGAAATTTTTGAATGTGAAATGAAAATGAATGGAAATCTTGGCGATTAGATCGCGACGATTAAGTCGCGTGAAATCTGTCCGGGGCCTAAAACAGATATAGCGTTGATATTAGGAGAGATTATTCATTCTTTCATCAATGTAATCGCATGAGTTCATCGTTGACAATTGATATTTGATAGACTTTTTATGCTGTATCCAAATATATGCTGATCACCTCGATTTTTTCCTTTCAAAAAATCATGGACAAGCGTGATTTCCAGCCTGAAAATTTACGCCAGGTATCGCACTTCTACGAGTAAACTCTCTTGTCTGCGAAATAGTGAAGAATTTTTGTACGCTCAAGTGATCATTAGAAGGCTTGGAAAGCTCTTTCGAATGCTATTTCCTATGTCCACGGAATTTGGAAAAAAAAAGCAGCACAAATTCGGTGGCGTTCAAACTGCCTGATTTCTTCGAAGAACCGCGGAATGATTGCGGGAGTCTGCAAGTGCTGTCAGGATAAGATGCGAAGACCTCTCACACAAAAGCGATCATTTGTCGATACAGTTAATCAGAAAGAAACCTTGAAAAATGTTCGAAAAATAAAGGTCTCATCATTTTTGAATCACCCCAATATTTTTCACTTCACACACAAAAAGAACAGTCAGGATGCTTATTTATAATATTCAACATTATCAAAGTGTACGCATGCGTGAGACTTGCATTTGGGAGACCGATCAACTGAGCGCATTTTATTGATCATGCCAAATACAGAAGTATTCTTGTTACATAAGTCTTAGGACAATGCTTTAGCAATGCTCCTGTTGAATATTCAAATTCAAGTCTAAACTCCTTTAAACTGCCGAAAAAGCTTAGTTATGACACATCAAACATTTTTTTTTCTTCCTGGGCTCAGTTTCTTCACTACTTATCAAAGTGCATAGAACTTGTTGTCCATTTTAGAAGTGATAAACTCAGTGTAAGCTAAAGAGGTTGGCGATAAAACAGGTGCTTACCAACATCGTTGGTTAGTATCTGCAAACCATTCTCATTTGCAAAAGTGAACAGCGATTCATATCTGTACACAAACCGCTTGAGTATGTGAGCTGTACTGAACACATAACTTGTTGAACGCTTAATTCAAGTAGCTGTATTGATCGAAGCGCGAAACAAGCCATCATGTAGAAAACAGCAACACTATATGGTTCAATAACGCTTCATACTAGTGAATCAGCCGATCGTATGTCCTTTTATCGCAGCAGCAAACGATAACAATCACGCATGCATTCTCTTACACGTTCGTCTTCTCGAATCAATTTTGACTGGTTAAGGTTTTTTCGTGCAAAGGTGCAAAAAAATGATTGATTTTCAACATAGCAAAGATTTATGGACCACGCAGTTTAGAGATTATGTGAGGTACTTGCCGCTTTGGTGACAGCCGCTGAGGTATTTTCGTATGCGTTTCTGCCTCCAGCTATCCGTGAGTTAGCGCGCAATTAAGAGTAATTCACGTCCCCATAGAGTTACAGTGTGATTTTAGAATGGTCATTCATGCTGGCTTCAGTAGCTCTGTTCATGATGGTTTGTGCGACTGTCAGAAGTTTCTACAGAGTCAACCCATACGCCCTCATAGCTGGGACCGTAAGTTCAAGAAATGCTTCTTTTTATATGTGCAGGTGATCAATAAAGTATGTATACACTGTTTGGTCGTTAATATCTTTCTTCTCAAAAAGTCTTTTAACTACCCTTAAGTACCATTCTGTTTTTCTGGCTTCAACTTAAATTTACAGTGTGGAGAGTAATCACGGTCGCTCTTTATTACTGTGAGACTACCTGTAAAAACTTCAATAAGGGTTTTGTGCCCTTGAAGGCACCGTCCACCCAAATTCTCGACTTCCATGTTTTTGTCGATTCGCCTTTTCAAGGCCCTGATTTCGAATATGGAGTCGAAAATCCGCGAAACACCCAAAAATCCCTGTTTCGAGTACTCTCTGCAGCAAGCGCAGGCGAGGTAAAGCATGCAAGTGGGCGGGGCGAATTCTCCGAAAAATGCCAAAATAAATCAAACTCGCCCTTTTGTATTGCTCGCTCGAAAATCATAACTTTTCATAGAGACGCTCAATCGGCGCAATCTTTGCACTGTTAGAAAGAGCTTGTGAAAGAGCCTACACTACTGACTGCCCCGATTTTTGTTGCAAGTTTCCGATTTTTTATGACCCTATACGAGAAATTCAAATTTTGAGTGATTTTGGTTTTCAGGTTCAATCTGCTTTATCTGTTCTCGATAGCGAACGCGCAAAATTTAGATCTTGCAGATTCGTTGAGAATTCAACAAGTTATCAATTTTTGAATTTGGTGCGAAAGAACTTCTGCATTAACCTAATAGATGCAAATTCAAGTTCAAAGACGTAGCGGCAGTCGCAAACATTCAAAGTTTTCAGATTTTTTTTAATGCAGCTACTATAGTAGAAGCAGTGCAAGGGCTCCTCTATACAGCAGAATGGTGCACCTCAATTTTTTAAATTTTTTCAATAGCATGATCAACAGTGAGTCTCGAGAAAATAAATTTTCCTGCAGTGAGAGAGAAATGATTTGGTGATTCCATTTTTCTAGGTTAAATATAAAGACCATGTCGGACTCGGACACATAAAATTGTTTATTATGGATAATTTTAGCATTCTGTTGCATATTTAAAACCAGAGTCACCAGTGATGCAAAAATTATAGTTGGTGCAAATTAAGCTACGAGACTTTAGGGAAACCCTATATTTTGAAATTACGCTCCATACTTATTTGTCAGAGCTCTTATGGCTACGGTCTATTCTTGTTGCCCTCAGTGCGTCTCATTCCGCACGGTCAATGAATCGAAAAAAAGAGCTATTTTTGTGATTTTCGTTAGCGATGCACGGAAATTAATGCATGCAATCGATTGAACATTGCTAAACGTCTTTTATTTACTCTTGGACCATCAATGTATGGAAATCTTACAGTTTTCCTTTTGATGACCGGAACTTTATAACCTCATTATGAGATTAACATAGTTAACCGCAGAAAAATTATGGGGAAAGAAATATTAGGTTGTCAAGAAAATAATGTCGGTTTTTATTTGCTTGCTTTAACAAAGCCACCAGACTCATCCAACAAAGGGTAAGGGGTACTGTTCGATAGAGCAAAGCAAGCTCTACAAGATGGCACTCATGTCTTTGCGCCATGCTCGATCCACCGAGAGTTCGAACTCAAAATCTAAAGATTTCCAAATGCCCAAAAAATCGAAAAAAATCAGATCTTCGTCCAGATAATTTCTACGGACCTCCCACTCGCTCACATCAATACTATCAATATCTGACATCTATATGTGCGATTGCCGTATTTTTTCCTTGACAAGAAACTGAGAAAACGAAAAATTCCCTGATTCTCTCAAAGCAATGCTGAGCCGTTTTTGCATATGTAGTTCTATACTACAAGCCTAGGTAAGTATAACTGTAGCTTTTCAGCCCATTCCAAGCGGTAGTTTTCGAAAAATAACGAATTCGGATTTTTTCGTTTCAGTTTCAGTGCTAAAATCGACATTTCTCGAAAAGTACCGCAATAGGCTGAAAACCTACATTTATGCTTACTTAGGCTTGTAGTATAGAACTACATATGCAAAAACGGCTCAGCATTGCTTTGAGAAAATCAGGGAAATTTTCGTTTTCTCAGTTTCTTGTCAAGGAAAAAATACGGCAACCGCACATATGGATATCAGATATTGATAGTATTGATGTGAGCGAGTGGGAGGTCCGTAGAAATTATTTGGACGAAGATCTGATTTTTTTCGATTTTTTGGGCATTTGGAAATCTTTAGATTTTGAGTTCGAACTCTCGGTGGATCGAGCATGGCGCAAAAATATGAGTGCCATCTTGTAGAGCTTGCTTTGCTCTATCGAACAGTTCCCCTCACCCTTTGTTGGGTTGAGTCTGGTTGCTTTGTTAAAGCAAGCAAATAAAAACCGACATTATTTTCTTGACAACCTAATAGTTCGCTGTAAAAAGAGTAATACGCTACGTTTGGCTCAAGTGGCGGTTAACTCGACTGATGTGGCTGTGTTCGCTTCCCATTATTTGCTTAAACATTAGATGCTGCAAACATATCAATATGACAACTTATCAATATTCTTTCCTTCCGGTTCGAGAGTGTGCCGCAAAATCAATCGCTTTTTACAAATGCAGCTTCGCGTTTTTATTTGCATAATTTTTATGTTGAAATTTTTGAGACTAGTCAGCACTGTAAAAAGTAGTATCACGAGTGATCGGGCTCATAGATTTATAGCAGAATTTCGATTTGATCAGTTTGGCTCGAAAGTTCTTGAGCATTTATAAACTAATGCTGCTATTTTTCAAAATCAGTCCATGTACATTATCGAGAATTTGTGGTTGTAGCTCTCTCTCACTCATGTAGCTGATATTTAAGCAAGTGGGAGAAGCTAGGACTAAGGGGAGCAAAGTTTGCCACTTTCCATCCACTTACTTCGTTATTGCCGTAGCTCAAATTCCGTACGAACTGTGCATGTTGGTAAGTGCATATGGTTATACTATAAATTGGAGCATGTGAGAGTTTTATATAGGAGTTGGAGACGTGGGTTAGGTCAAAATCCTATGCTTTGAAAATTCGCCCGAATTTTCGTAGTAAACGTTGGTAATGCTTGTGCTCACCATTTTTGTAGAGATTGCTTTCGTCTGTCCAACGCTCAACATGCCCCACTCAGACGCTTAGACTGCATCGGGAAGTTTGCGGCCTCAAAGCGTGCTACATGGGGCGCCGCGGCCCTTGAGATTTCAGCCGCGCACGCCGCGGCCTATGTATATTTTACCGGGAACGCCGCGATCAAAGTTAAAATTGGATAGAGCTTACCGGGAGAGTCGCGGCCCAATCACCTCACTCGGCTTGCCGCGGGCCTTATCAAAGGCCGCACTTCTTGCACGCTGTAGCTCAAAGCGCAACCCGCGTGAGGTACGCCGCAGCGATAGGGCTACCCTGAGTGTTTGCGGGGGTGGTTATCGCTTCTCGGGTTGGATTGCGTGACAGTTGAGTTTATATGTTCACGAAACAAACAAACTTTAGCAATCGATTGAGTGTTATCGATGACAGTAGATGATGTCGACAGATGAGCTACAAGTTGCTCAATTTGTACTTAGTCGTTGTCATGAAAAACAGGCCAAAATTTTTTCACTCTTTCTAGCCTCACAAGCATGCTAATCGGGTTAACCATCGGGCGCTTACAGGATGCGCCGCGGTCACTTACCGGGTCCAATATCGGTTTATACCGGGCAGCTCGCGGCATGGATGATTGGTGGATGAGCAAGCACCCGCGAACTTCCCGATGCAATTGTCTGAGCAATCATTACAAAAACTTTGTCTGAATGCAATGTGCGAGAACTTTCTAGCCAGTCTAATACAGGGTGTCCCAAAATACAGGGTGTCCCAAAAAATGTGAACACTGTTTGATCCTTAACAACTCCGTTGCTTTCATGTCTTTCGCCGAGCTTGAGGCAACATTCTGTAGAGCGAGGTTCAACTTAGATTTGTGGTATGGAGCGAATCATCGATCGCTTTTCATTACTGTAGGATTGCGATACGAACTTCTAGCATGTGGATCTATTGTGAAATATGCCATTTGACGAAGTTTTTTTTTTAAATCTAAAAAATCGTGTAATAGGGTTTTCGCGCACGCTGATTCCACAACACAACTTTTACGAGTGTTTTTAGCTTTTTTGACGGTGTAATCACATTTTTGACAAATGCTGGAAATTCGGTTATTAAGGTTTACCTGGGATAACCTTGGAAAGAAGCGTCACAGTGAAGTGGATATTTCATATTCAAACTCAGCGGCTTCCATTACCCATGTATAGAAGTTTTTGGCTTGTTTGGTTTTGTTCCGAGGCAGAATATGGCTTTCAACGGCTTAAAATCCTTGTCAAAGTTCCTACCGTAATCCTTCAGCAATGAAGAAAGATCGACGATTCGCTCTATACCACAAATCTAAGTTGAACCTCCTCTACAGAATGTTGCCTCAAGCTGGGAGAAAGACCTAAAAGCAAGGGAGTTATTAACGATTAAGCAGTGTTCACATTTTTTTGGGACACTCTGTATATTAGGTAGGTCCGAATGTTCGTGCCGTTTTTTTACATATCCAACCACTCAGAATAAAGATAGACAAATACTCTAAAAAGTAGTCTATGCAGAATTTTTCCTTCTTTGTAGCAGTAATATTTTTGTTCGGATTCCTAAGATGTTTCCTTGAGAATCTTCAACCCATGGTTTTTAGCTACCCTAAATTTTGCTTTTTTCAAAAATTTTCATTCTGGACTTTTGGAAATGCTTCGATAACGGGTGCGTAGCAAGTGGTACCCAGGCAGCCAACTGCTGCCGCAGCCAGCCGCCAGAGCTGCCGGCAAAGCCGCTGCAGATAATACAATAACTACGCTCGTCGTCTAAAGCTCTTGCCGAAAGGTTTTCTCGCACCTCATCGCCCTGAGGTACGATATCAGCCTAAGGAAAGCGTGATATACCCTATAACTATATTATTTTGAACAGCAGAAAATCCATGCTTTTGAGAAACATGCAAATAAGCAAAGGTAAACAAAGGAGAGATTTCTTAAAGG